ATGCTGGGTCTGTGATGCTCTGATCACATCACAGCATCTGCTCTGTAGATTTCACTTAAGCCAGTTCAAATCACTTTTAAACAGGTAAGATTATTCAAATATATGTATTATTATTTCTTTTCTCTCAAAAATGTTCCTAAAGTACCTGGAGTTCTCACAGGATACAGCTGTGGGTACAGCAGTGGGTACAGCTGATCTTCAGCCACAATTTGTCTTCAGCTTCTTGTATTTACTCCTGCAAAGACAGGTTTTATAGACACAAGGATTCAAATTAACCTTTTTAAATTTTCAAGTGTCAGTAAACCTGGCTGAAAAGAATTCTTTCTGTTACAGGTTTTACATAGATTTCAGGTAAATATATATTGGGTTACCCAATGTCACTTTCCTGTTCTGGATTTTTTTTTTTAAATAGAGCCAAGTACAGGGTTCTCCTTATGAATAAAAGTAAATTGTTTAGTGGGATTAATTTCTGTATTAAGAGCTATTTCATTGTCTATTGACATGAGAGAGGCAGCTCTTCTACCTAAGTTTGCATGCTTAAGAACAGAAAGAAGATTCCTTGAGATGATTTTGGGAATTAATCCTATGGAAATCAGATTTTCGTGTTTGATACTTTGTTAAGTGCAATTAAGAGGAGGGAAACAAGTAATTTTGGAAATTTCATCTACTTGGAATTAGGGCTGTCAAGTGAAGACCTTTCCTAAAGGGATTCAGTGCACACACAAAAGATCAGAACAGGACTCTGTAACTACCTTGTCCTTGCAGGCTTGGATGAGTCTGTGGTGCTGGAGAGCTGTGCAGCCTTTCTTCTCTTTCCCAGGCTGGGGATTCACCTCCAACTCCTGCACTGGCATTAAAGCCTTTTGGGGGGAACCCTGGAGTACTCCATTAGTTCAGAGTGGGAGTTAAATTAGTGGCTGGGGCCCAGGACCAGTTTGTTTTCCCTGTTTAGGTTTCCTTTCGAAGTCCTTGAGGGCAGTACTTGCTTCAGGGCAGGTGTCTTCTAAGCCTTACTGATGTCAAGTCGAAACAGTGGTTTCACAGAAGCTGAAATCCTCTGTGAGGTGGCATTTGCCCTTTCTGTATCTGAGCTGATGTTGCAGAGGGTTGCTCTCCACTGAGCACAAAGCCTGTCTAGCCCAGGCTCTTTCTACTCTTTCTTTTGAATTATCCCAGAGACCATTAAAAGGAGGAGGAGGAGGTTTATGTGAAGGACCCTGCACCACTTTGTGAGAGAATGTGAGCTGCATTGGTGGTGTGTGGGAAAGTGCCAGAGCATTTTAATACCTCCTTTTTAGAAATAATGAAAATAATTAGCAGATGACAACATAAAAACAAGATTAGCTAGTGCTGGTTCTTTGGTTTGTTTTGTTTTGTTTTTTTGGCTAGACAAAGCTCTCTGAGTGTTCTCTCATCTGAGTGCTTTGCCACAATTTCTGTTTTCTCCAAGTCACATGCTAACCTAGCTTTGAAAAGTCTTATTGTTCATATCAGCTGTCACAACCAGAACAGCTCTGTCCATGAAAAGAACAGAGACCCCATTAGGACATTGAGGGTTTTCTGCCAGCTGTTTGATGTTTTTCTCATGTTATATCATCAGTTCAGTTGGAAAGATTTCACTGTACTACATGCAGCTTATTGTGTAAAGATACCAGATATGTCTTGAAATCCTTCAGGTACTAGGTTTATATTCAGGCATTGGTACTGGCACAGCATAGATAACACAACCACACTGGACCCTGTGCTGTGACCACTGACAGCCACTGGGCAACAGAACTACATTTAAACTGCCTGGGGTTGCCATTTGTGCTACAGGCACAAACATTGCTTTCATTTGTTTAGTAGGCTTGAACAGAACAAAACAACAACCTACTCCTCTGTCTGCAGTTTAGATAATGGAAGAGTATTTCTAGATTTGAGTTCTTTCTTGTTAACAGCTGAAATGGTGAGCTAAGGATTGGCTGGGACAAGTTCCATGATGGATGTGAGCAAATGCTTGTGGCTTTGATGAGATCAGCATGCTTAGCAGGCTTCATAAAGCTGGCTTGTTCTTTTATGGGATGGTTTGTTTCTGTGGCAGTCCTTCAGTCTCCTGCTGATGTGCAAGAGCTCATTGCTACCTGGCAGCATCAACCTTCAGCACCTGATCACTTCCAGAAGCATCCTGGCATGCACATGTTTGGCTGGAACTGGTGGTACCTCAGAGCCATCTCTCTCCTTCCTCAGATCATCTTGGCAATGAAGTGTTCTTTTCTGGTTGAGTTACTTAACTCTCTTGGTTAAGAGGTTGTTACTCACACGTAAAATGAGTGTGCTCTGTGGGATCTGAGACTTGTAACTCTGCAATTCCCAGGCAAGGAAGAAGGGCATAGCTCTGGTTTTGCTGGGTTGAAGCTGCCCCTCTGATCTCTACACACTTTCATTCCCTTGAGGTTAAAGCTCCACATGGCTGTTTGTGCAAAAGATGGTGACACTGTTCCTGTGTCCCTTCCCTGAATGGCCAGAGGTAGCACTTGTGGCAGACAAAGCTGCCCTCTTTGGTGCTTGCTTACCTGCTGCTGGTGTTTACTCCAGATGGCACTTTTGCAGAGCACCAAATGTCAAGAACAGGATGCCCCAAAACACACACAGGACTATTGCAGGGTTTAAGTGAAAGATTTCAGCCCTGTGACAGTTTGTGCTTTGCTGTGGTTTTAGGCCTGAAAGTTGGTCAGGGATTCTGCACTGGCAGGAGTATGCTGAGTTTGACAAGGCAAGGCCTGCCAAAGACATGTATGGCAAGGTAGAGGGTAAGTGTGCCTAGATGGTTGAAGGTGTTTTTCTAGTAGTGTTCAGTTGTTTTTCTGTGGTATTTTATTTATTTAGCAACACTCAAACCATGATATGGTCAGTCATGATCTTTGGGGACAGGGTACCATTGAAGGGTAATTAAGTTGTCTCAGTTATTCTGACAGCACTTTAAACAATTTAAAAAGCATATTTAAAGCAACATGATAATTTCATCAGTTTTAGAAGGCCTAAGCTTGCTACTGAATTCAGGCTCAGTGCTCAGTGCGGGCACTGGTGACATCTAAGCATGGGAGGAAGTCACTGACAAGCTCTGAAGGCTTAGTGGCACTTCTGTATCTGAAGTTTCTACAGTGCAATTTGGTAACCACTGAAAACACCCTGAGATGCCTTCAGGCTGAGCTTTACAGTAACATTTATTCCTCACAAGAAGAACATTGGTGTTGGCACTGTTTCAGGGTGTTTTCCTTATTCCTACTGCTAAACCCAACAAGATAGGCCACACTAAAACAGGATTCATTATTTGTGTTCTTGTTAACTGCTTGTAAAATATGAAGTGATTACCCTGGCAGATGAAGCGCCCGTGCTTTCAGGAATATCAAATTCCTGCAGAGTGAAGCCGGGACAGCTGCCATGAACAACAGCAGGCTCTTCCAGAGGTACTGTGGGACTGCTCTGCTTTCCTGGCAGCTCAATTGTTTGCTGCTTGGAGCCAACACGTGCGCTCCCAGACTTGCTACGAGGTTCTGCCAGTTCTCCCATGGGAAGCTAAGGCACAGTCACTCTTGTGTTCAACACAGACATCACCATCCTGTGATTTGGAAACTCAGGAGCTGGAGCTGGGTCAGTCTTTCCAGGGTTGAACTGTCTTTTGTTCAAGTCAACCCTTTCTCAAATGCTTCAGTTCTAAATGGTCTTTCTGAGAACACAACTGCAAATGTATGTAAAAACAGGAAGATTTTAAACTACCAGAAGTCACTTGGGTTTGCGTGGTTGTTTCTTGCTCTCAGTTTCTTATCTTGAGCTTTACTGTGTTCTCAGGGCAAGCAGCAGAGGGGCCCTACCAAGGGCACTGCTCTGACTGCTTCTGCTGACCTCTGGCTTTCCCTCCTTTAGTGCAGGGAATTGTCATGGAAAGGCTCACATCAGCATGGGAACTGAAGGGGAATATTTGTCTGGATATGAAGGCTGTAGCAGGAGGACATGGTGGGGAAGAAGTGCTCTTAAACACCCTGTGTTAGCAGCACCCAGCCAAACAGGTCAGTGAGAATGCAGCACAGCTGGAAGGAACCCACAATCCAGAAACAAACAATACAGGACAAGTCTGGCATCACAAGGTTTGAGGTTGTTTTCAGTTCCTCCATCCAGCCCTCACTCCTCCCCTTCTCTAAAGGCTCATGCCTTTTTGCTCTTCTTTTTGTCAGTTTTATGACTTACTCTTTTTCTCACTTGCACACTTGTTATTATCTATTGTTGCTATTGCACTCTTCTTCACAAGCTTTGTTCTTGCTTGTGCTTTTTCTTTCTTTCATCCTTTCTTGTTTTTTTGTGTTTTTCTTTTTTGTTGTTGTTAGTTTTTTGTGGTTTTTTTTATTTCACCCTTTGGTTGTGTTTTTCCTTTGCTTTTTTCTTTGCACTTGTTCTACCTTCCTCTTCTCTACTGCCTTTTACTACAGTTACAAACTTTATTGTGGAAAATCTTCTCAGATTTATGCCAGGTCAGTTATTAATCATTCAGAGGCCTCAGGTAATGAGCAAAACGAGTAGCAAACAATTGTCACTGCGCTTTGACAGAAGAACAAGTGCAAGCAAAATCTGGCATTTTCCAGAATGGAAACAATGACTGCAAGAATTCAGTGGAAACTTGAAGGAAAGGAAGGAGTATCACTGTCCAGTAGAATACTGATTTAATACCGCATCCAGAGATGCTGTGATACAGTATTTGCTTCAAGTTATTGAAGCATTGCAGAACAGATCTGTGCACTTACAGGAAACCTGCCCCTCTCCAAGTGGTGCTTATCTTTGTATTCCCTGGGGAGGGCAGTTCCTAGAAAAGCAAGGAACTCATTATAAATGTAAGATCACAGGGTGGGAAACAACCAGTTATTTATAAAGCTGGCAGCCAGCAGGGCCACAGCAGCAGTCAGTGGTGGAAGGGAGGCTGTAGGGGTGGAATCTGGTGACTTCTGACGCTGCACACACAAAAACAAAGCTTGTGGCTGATAGATTTTTTTTTTATTATTATAGAACAGATGAACTAAAATAAGCCAACAATATAATTTTATGCCAACAGCCATCTTTCTAGCACAGGCGGTGACTGACTCAGTATACCCTTTTCCCCCTCCTCCCCAGGCCTCTGTTCAAGGGAAAGCAAATGGTGGTGACTTTTGCACACGGTTTTGGACTGCAGTGATGCTATTCCTGTTACCTGTGCAGGTGTGCCTGGGAAAAGAAGAGGCAGGGGAGCAGAGAAAAGAGTATATATGTTGTAGGAGCAATAAGCAGAAAGGTTTGTGGATCCTCTTGCACGTTCACACCTTGTGACTGAGTAGATGGGACAACTGGAGAATCTTGCCCACTTTCAACAGGTAGCAAGCCCCTAGTTGCTACTCTAGTCAAGCCAGGAGTTTCTTCCCATTCCAAGCTAACAAAGGGCAAGATGCACTCAGTGGGGGAGCTTTGGGCAGGGTAAGGGGCAGTCTATGTAAAACCAAACCAAAAAACCACCCCCACCCCCCAAAAAAACCTGCATTTTAAGCCACTTCAAAGTAAAAGTTACTTCTTATAATATAATAGATACTTTTTAAATGGCAGGACCACCATCCTAGAAAGACCAAAGGGCTTGCACTCAAGACCAAAGAAAGAAAAACAAAAAACCAACAAACCAAAGAAAAGAAAAAAAACCAAAAAAAACCAACCAAACAAACCAAGAGTGGCCCCACTCTCAAGCTTGGCTCTTCTCTAAAAACAGCACTTGTCATCCATCTGAATAGGTAAAAGGAGGAGTGGACAGAAAATAAAATAAAATTGGTGCAACTTCTCGCCGGCTGGCGCATTAACCCAAAGCTCCGTACAGCCCCGTACGACTGCGCGTCCTGCGTGGCAGCATCTCTGCGGTCAGCTTTCATCGCTGTATATGCCGGTATGTATATCTGAACATATACATACACATACACACAATAGATTATATTGTTTATAATGTTAGTTTGGGTCCAGGAGGAGGGCTCATCTCTCTTTCACGTGGTTCTGTGCTCCTGCGCTGTTGTTGCTCCCATTGCCGCTCCCGTTACTGCTGCTCCCGCTGCTGCTGCAGAGGACCTCCGTGAGGTCATCCATGATGGTGGTCTCTTTAGGGTCCACGAGGTTGAACTCCCTGATGAATAGGATAAAGTGTGTGTAGAGTGTGTTCAAATGTCCGTGCAGCTCCAGTGCCAAAGTCTCCTTAAAGTGTGAGGAGTAGATATGGGCCAGCACATGGAACAGGTACTTGCAGATCTTCTTCACTAGGGACTCAAATGAGTTTGGGAATTCCTTGCCTGAAAGGAAGACGGAGAAACACCATGATAGCACCAGCTGCTCACTGTCAGCCCCACAGCAGCATCTGGGCAAGAGCAACCGGCCCAACTTACATAGCAAACAATCTGAGGGCCCTGTGTCATATTATCCTCTTTTGACAGGAATTTGGGGGACAAGGGTAAGGAGATATTAAGCATTTTCATTTTAAGTTAAATTTCATTTGAAGTAAAATTTTAAACCTTGAAAAACCAGCCAGCAAGTGTTGTTCTGTAAAGCCACAAACTTTTTTGTTAATGGCTGTAAAAATGAGAGGTTCTTCTGTGTCATTACCTAGTTTGTCCAGGAGTGAGTTTTCCCCCAGAACACCAATTCAGAGATCCTAAAGTTGAAGCCAAGGTACACGGGCCTTGGTGGTGTGTGGCAGTTTGTACATAACTATATAGAACGTGTTCCCCCATTTCATTGTTGAAATTCTATCAAGGGAGAAAGAAACTGCCTCCTTCCAGATCAAGCTACTTGTAAGCAAAGGCTGCTAGCCTAATGTTTTTTATACTGTAATGTCCTATACTGTCATGTCCTAGTTTCCCAATTACCTGTTCAAATGGCTCATGAAGCCAGCTGCTTTTAGTCCTGATTAAGCCCACCTACAATAGCTTCAAGTTTCTATTTTCTTTCACTTAACCAAAGGCATTGTATACAAACCATGTAGCAATCTTGTTAGGATACAAATTTGAGTTAAAATTACTTCCCTGTTGCTTTTCAGCTCCTAAAAATCACATTCTTATTTAATCTTTGTATGGGAAAGGAGACTGTAAACAATGAGAGACAATGCAGAGCCTTGGGCAAAGAAAGCAAGCCACATTGCTGCAATCCAATTTATTACCCACATTTCTTAATGCATTGAGGCTCTAATGGAAATAGTAAAGCCACACAAAGGTTGAAGTTTGCTATCAGCAGACTGTACAGCAGACTGTATTGAACGCACAAACGCTGACTGTTTTCAGAATTTTATCCTCTATAAACCCAGTCTAGATCATCTCAAAATGCTGAAGACAAAGGGGTACTGATGATGAGATACAGTAGGCCAAGGGGTCAGGTCTGTGAGACTTTCACCCCAGTTCATACACCAAGAAGGCAAGTTTGTTTTACTGCAAGAATCAACAAAACTTAGAATCTTCCTTAAGACAAACAACCAAAACTACAAAAGAAACATGCAAAGAAAGAAAACTATATATAAAAAAAAAACCAAACTAAAACCCATCAAACAAAACTAAGAAAGCTGTCTGGTATTCATACACTTGAATGCCAACTTTCACTTGACTGATGGCACCCCCAGAGAGCCCCAGGAAGTGACCATACCATATTTTGTTGGAAAGACGTCCTCATCTGTCACTAGTTTTTGCACCGAACTCATGACGAAGTCAACGTACTGAGGAGCAGTGCACTTGATCTTCTTTCCCCGCTCATCATACCAGTAGTACTGTCTGTGGAGAGAAGGGACAGTGTCACCACATCACATTGCCTCCTCAGCTACTCCTCCAAGAGCCTGTGTCCAAGTAATATAAAACAACAGCTGCTACAGAAGAGATTCACTTCTTTCTGCATTGAAGAACTTGAACTTGTTTGGCTGATTTTGTCTCTCCCTACCAGTCTAGGCTGGAGTGCAGGTTGCAGTGCCAAGCTCAGAAAGCCTTGCTGATAAGACTCCAAGGGGAACTGATGAACTTCTGATGTTTAACATCAGAGAGTATAAATTAGTTCTGTAGTGCAATACTGTGAAACAGTCAGATGGTGGCTCCAGAACACCGCTTTTTTCTGCCTGGGACTCTCCCGCACTGGCAGTGATTTCAGGCGTTCCAAATCCTGTTCCAAAATGCAACCCAAGGGAAGTTTTCAGGCCCCTTTTGCACATCCATATCAGTGTGTGTTTGAACTCTGCTCCTTACGTTACAGTTACAGACTCCCCCAAACACCTGAATTTATGATATGGTTATGGTGATACTGCCACCAGTGAATATTCCTGTTGGATCTTAACAGGAGATACCAGCCCTTCAAAAGAAACCATAATTCAATCAGTTAACCATAATAATTTTGATTAACTGCAGCCATCCCTCAGCTGACAGACAATCCGAGAGCTACAAAACAACTAAATGTTTGTTCCTCTTTTAAAAAAAAAGTCATGGTTAAATAAAGCATCTCTAACTGCTCCCAAGAGTAGCTACCCACTGGATTAGGCACACAGTGAGAAATGTTTTACAGATGAAGAATTCAGGAAAACACTTCTAAAGTTTTTTTTTCCTATGTCACATTAGACAAGCCCTGAGTTCCAGTTTATGAATTTTTCTTCAAAAAGTCTAAGCTCAAGGCACAGTCCTGTATCATTATAGGGCTGATAAGAAATCCATTGTATCGATCTTCCCCAATGACACTGTTCATGCCCCAAGCCATACGAAAACAAGAGGAAGCTGCAGAAATGAGCAGAGTAGTTCAAATTAGGAGAGGAAAGACAACTACAAACTAGTTCTGCCAACATTAAGGTTTTAGAATTTTTCTTTCAGCTCCTTTTCACTATGTAGTACTTGGTCACTCTGTTGTTTACTAGAGAGACAAGGGTTGACTGCAAAATTGCATAAAAAGGTGAGTAGGTGAAAACAGCAAGAGTCAAAAGTTCTTTGTAGAGCTATGTCAGGCATCACACCCAGCACTTGGGCCCTTAGGCAGAGAGTGTGCTCTTCACCACTGCTCACTTCCTTTGTACAACCCACCTCTAAGGAATTACACAATGGAGTGCATCAACACCACTTCGTTTGTCTGCTCCTGCAATGAGATAGTCCCAGACAATTCAGCTTTATTTTGGGTCTTAAGACAATGCTTGTCACCAAGAGCAGAGGCAGGCTGCACTGTTCTACCCCAGCAGCTCTCTCGTGATGCAGGAATACTCAACTGCAAGAAAGCACAGTTTAGAGTTGCCCTCAGGTGCAAAACTGAGTGCTGATAATTGGATTTCAGTCCAAAGAAACAATCTGGCAACTGTACAAGTTCACTTATATTCTTGTGTAAGTGAATAAATCTGCTCTAGCATCCCACTGCCTATCCTTTCTGCCTTTCCTTGAAAATTAGGAAATTAATTATGCAAAACAGGAATTAAACAGAAGAATCATTAAAAGTAAGGGGATAACTACAAGGACTGTCCTGCTGATTTGAGTAATGTGTTTTTCTCATGTGTCAGGTGCTATTGAACAGATTTCACAGCTCTCAGGGGAAGAGGAGCCCCTGACGTGCCGTGAACATCTCGCACCTGGTACATGGCTTCCACCCACGCTGGAGTTATCTCCACCAACAGGATAGGAGCAGTCTGGGGCCATGGAAGGGCTCACTTGGGCACAGAAGCCTAACTGCATTCCACCACTGGCACTGTTACAGCACAGTCCCATATTAGGGAATGGATGGGAAGCAGAAAGGACAAGAGGATGAGACTTAAGGGCACTTTTCGAAAAGTTGCAGATTTGAATCTCCTCACTATGGAGAGTATAAGGAATCTGCAGCTCCATTCTAAATCCCAGGGAGAAATGACTATGGATTTACCAGAGAAGAACCTGTGATGCAAATAAGAAAGCATAACACATGTGAAATCACAAATGAAATTACAATGCTGCATCTTAATATATGTATGTACTTTATCCCTTTTCCTCTAAAACATTCTGGGCTGGTGTTGATAACACAGAAGCCAAGGCAGAAGTTACACCAATATACAGAAAAAAAGCTTCTGGAAGGAGGGAAAAGCATATACTGTGGAAATTATTTTGCCTGGAAAGGAAGGAGAGACAGTCACAGTCCTGATAAAAATATATTAAAAAAAAAAGACAACATGAAGAAAGCAGGAATAAAACCAGAAGCAGGAATATAGTGCTTATGAGCAGCTGGAACAGCTTTGATGGTTTCACAGGGGCTAAGCAATGTTTGGATGGCAGAGAAGAGAAAGGAGGCATCACGTAAAGTCATATAGCGGGGGGAACTTAAATGTAAGAAAATGTGAAACTTATAATTTTGAATTAAGCACTCTAGGAGGAAATCCCCTCCCTATGCAGAGGCACTAAAGGCAAGGTAAGCAAGAAAGGAGATGAAGATTAGAAAAAAATGAGTGATAAGTGTTATCAAGGAAGGGATTCCACCAGACCAAAATATTTTGAAAGGTGGGCTTCCTAAAAGTTTGCATCCATCCTCCATTTCCACCTCTGGAGTTTTGTAGACTCATCCTTCTATGTACAGCACTTACACAGGCTCTTATTTAATACACTCACTGAAGCACTTTGAAGAGTTTCACCCAAATGTTAGCTAGAAAACCAGTTTATAGCTCAAGGTGCTTTAAAGCTGGTTTGTATAATAAAAAGCTATAAAGCATACTAAATTTTAATAGCAAATATTGTGTTGAAATATAGTACCTGCTTTACAACAAGTGATAAACATATTAATGAGCAAAATTAAGTAATTCCCGAAGTTATATTCATTCACCCTTGTTAAAGTTTGAGGATAACTGGCCATTATGGTATTTCTCTTAGCATTATCCCACCTTGCCAGCAAATGCTTCCATCTGTTCTACACTGGGACTAAGTTTTGGTCAGATGTCTCCTAGTGACCGTAAGCAGAAATTCTCCTTGCTCTGTGCAGATAGATGGCTGTGCTATCTCACGGATCTGACAGAGGGCTGAAAGCTGCATCTGTCTGCAGTTTGTCAGTTGGCTGCAGCTTCTCTCAGATGTTAAAGCCTCAAATACTTAACTGCAACCAGTGCTTATTGTGCCAGCAAATACTTTACATTTAGGACTGGGTACTTGCAATGCAATTTGAATGTCAAGTAACTTTGACAAGCAACCAGTTATCGATAGTTACTTCAACATCTCAACCATAAATAAAAAAAGCCTTTCTTAGGCATGACCAGAATGGTGTGATCCAAAATATATCACAGAGATCTCAGCAGGGAAAATACAAAAGTGGAACAGAATGCAGACTTTCATATGCAACTACCCAAGAAATCAACATGGGAAAAAATGGCAAACTGCACCTTAATTCCAAGGTACTGTAATTCTATGGCAATCTTATGTAGCCAGATGCTATTTTATTCCAAAGGACAGCAACAAACAGATCATGGTCACAGAAGGCTAAGCCTGGAGTGTCCAACAGCTTAATCAGCAACTGACACCAGTGTTTAGGCGTCTCTCTTTATACACTGGAGACAGGTCCAAGGCACAATGAGCCACAGCAGTTGGTTGGCTCTCCAACACAAGCACATCCTTAGCTTACCAGAGCTAGGAAGGGCAGAACAAAAAGATCAGGATTTGGAGAATACAATTATGAAGGGGGCCTACATAGCTGAACTATGCTGAGGTGTGTAGGCAGCTGATCTCACCTTGGTGGCTTTTTCACCAAGCAGCAAGCAGCCTCCAGCTTGCAAACATGAATCAGGCACCTTCCCCCAAGTACAGGAAGGTTGTTATTGAGGTTGTTATGATTTAGCTATGCACAAACCGTTTCAAGTGCTTCACCCAAGTGTAGACATGCTTCCTGTTATTCCCAAACAGCACAATTTTTCAGTTTTCCAAAACAAAGGATAGGAACATTCTGCTATCAGACCCTACCACTTAAAAATACAGGCTACAGCTGCAGTTGCCTACAGGCACTTCCTCTCTTTATTCTGCAGCACAAGGTGCTTACAGAGAGCTCTTGTTTAAGGATCACTAGAGCAGAATGGAGCAAAACTTATGCAGGTTTCCCATTAACACCTCCTTTCAGCTACTATTTCCCACCAGCAGTTAAACCCAGTGCTTGGGACAGCCAGTGCTGCATCAGGAATTTAAACATGAGTAAGCCTGGGAATGAGAATCAACAAAATACTCATCTTACTGCACACCATTTCTTATTTAGAGACATGCTGTCTCCTTTTGATAAAATCTGGGTCCAGCAGAGATTTATTACTTTCTCTTCCAGCTTGGTTTCAAAGTCTCTAGAACAGTCTTTAACTGACAATTAAAGTTATTCCAACTTTTACATGCAAAAATACTCTCCATACACTTTGCATGCTTCTGAGCGCTCTCAAAGAAAGCCCCTGATATTAATTTCAAGTGTACAAGATAGCCCAGTGCATTAAGCAAGGCTTTCCTTCGAAGAATTATGTAATGACTGTCAGAGATACAACACAGAGCTATGGTTCTGTTGCATATTCCCTGGGATGTTGTTTGATGTACTGACATTAACTGCCCAGTTGTCTCTTTTAAAATCCATCTCAAGTAAATTAATCCCAGGAAATGCAAGAGGAGGGAAGAAAAGGACTATCAACACATGTTGGAGGGAAAAAAACCCTAAACACAACAGACTTACATGAGTAAGTCCTGATTGGTACTCATATTCCATCACGTTGGACTGTGCTCATCAGCAGCAGAAGTTTATCATAACTTTTTCTTATATTCACACTGTACAGTAACACTACAAAGCTTTCTTTCAGAACTGACTGCTAGTCAGTGTTAAAGTCTACTAAGTTCTAGAGGCGAAGAAACACCAAACCATTAAGCTTTCCTTACTCTTGCAAAGCTGCCACTTATGTCCTCAGTGCCCAGGGGCTCAGGCAGAGAGGCTGTGGCTCACATCAGGCTGGAGGTTATCCACCAGCAGCCTGGAGCTGTGTCAGCATTCTGGCTCTCAGAAGCACCCTCTGAGGTTTTCACAACTCACTACTCCTGCCCTGCCTTCTCTGGAACCCTAGCACTGTAACCAGTATGGACAGTCCTGCCCTGCCCTAGCTGAAGAGCACATTCACTGCAGGTACTTCCATGAGCAGCACTGCAGGCTCAGGGCTCAGCTCCTTGTGGCAGGGGCACAACAAAGGACATGGGGACCTGTAGCCTAGCCAGGGGACACTCAGAGACATAGCAGGACCTGACAACCCCAAGACTCAGGCTTTTTCAACTGTGAGAGTATAAAAGCCCAGGTTTCCTTTGTTTGGAGCCCTTCCTTGGAGGCACCACATTGGGCTGTTACGAGGTTATTTAGTTACTGTACCAAGTTTAAGGATCTGGATATCCGAGACTCTGTTATGGAAAACGTGGGTCGAGCCAGTAAGAAAAGTTGGTCTGAGTGAACTGGGATGTGTAGCTGTGAAGGGGCCTTGGTCCCACAGCTCACAACTGACTGCCAGAGTGGCTCCTGGATGGTCAGACAGGGAAGTTTCCGTAACACCCTCCTCTCCCTCTCCCCCAAGCACACACACGGTTCCTTTGCCTCTCTGATCTGACCTTACAAAACCAGCTCAGAGCACTCTGAGCTTCTCATCCTTCTAGTCCTCCACAAAAACAGATGTCCACCACACCACCTTGCTGAAGGGAGAGAAGAGGATGCACAGCTGACACATTCTCAACAAGTAGAGACCTGCTGTAAAACACTTGCCTGATGCCATCCAACAATAATATCCTCCCCCAGGCAACTCTGAAGACATGAAACCTTGCACATGTAATAAATGAAACTACTGACTTACGTATTGCACACTGCCATGGTCTGACATGACTCTCCTGTACAGAATTCTGAGATTGTACTATATTGTAAATTGATGTGATGAAAGAAAGTTGTTGCTGAAAAATAAACAAAGGAAAGAAATTCAGAAGTAAAATACTTTCAAACACTGGTTATCCTCCAGACAATTATTTAAATACAGCAAGTGAAGCGACCTCAGTCTTGAGCTTGCATACAAATTTAAACATGATTTAGCTAAATGAGCCTAATGATGAACTGCAAAATGAAGAGGTACACAGAATGAAAGCTCTTGTTTTAAGATGAAAGCACCATGATGCATTAGCTCTTATTACTCACAAAGCAGCAAGACTGGAAAGTGTCTCCATCATCAGTCTCACCTTTACAGTAGAATACTCTATAAGCTGAAGGCAAACAATTTGCTATGTTCTTTTGAAGCCAGACTTAAAATCTACAGTGGCTAGAAAACAGCACTAGCAGTTTTCACAACACATCTCCTTGTAAAAACAACCAGCATGAAACCTGGTACACTTCTACTTTTTAAAAATCTCCCGAGATAATTTAACTTCTTGATACTTCTCATGGGGCACCTCACTTTTTCTTAATGAGTCTCTATAAACTTTCTTAGTATGTGGTTTAAAGTAGTTTCTTGCTACTACCACACACTGTTGAAAACATAAACAAGGCTAGGCCATAGCTGCAGGTGAAGACTGGCAATAGTAGCCCAGGAAAGTACAGCAAATCAGGGCTGAAGTGCACAGGTACAACATTCAGTCACAGTAGCTGGTCAGATCTCTGAATTCAGCCTGTCTACTGTTTAAATCCACAGTAATTCCACCAAAATTTGCAAGGATTGAGAAGGAAAAAATCTGACCAAAAGACTTCACAACTTCTGGCTTTAGGGTTAAGTTGATTTACATAAAGTCTTTAGAAACTATATTTTTACAATGCTTCTGGAAGGTCAGCAGCTGTAGTCAGAAACATCCAGAAGCAGCCAGTTTAGCAAGCAGTCAACAGGAATCTTGATGGTTCTCCAAAGAGCATCCAAAACTGCAGTGCTCTCAGTGTCACAGGGAGGGAGCTGGAAGGAGGAAATGCACCAAGGCTTTCATGCTGCTGAGCACAGCTGGGCTGTGCGTGAGACAGTTTAATTACCACTCAAGGTATAATGACATGCATTACACAGTAAGCATAAATAGTACTGAGTGTTTCTCTAAGCACTGAAAACAGCAAAAAGAGTGAATGAATGGCCTCTTGAGGATGGACAGCAAGCTCAGAGCTGCATGAACACAATACTCACTGTTGCTGGCAAGCCACTCGTTGAGGTCTATTTCCCGTGGTAACATCACTAGTTCCTTAAATTCGAAGTCGGTAATTCTGGATTTTGTGTATTCTGGCTCTAGGTAAAGTTTCTTCTCTTCTGGTGCTGGCTTTTTACCATTTGGCTTTCCCTTGGACTTCCTGCAAAAGATTAAAAAAGAGAGAAGTCGGGTTAGATCTACTGTTGAATAGCTACAGAAAACTGAAAGCAGCCGGTTCATCCAAATCCTTGTATTATTTGCCTTTACACTGCTCCTCCTGCATTCTCTTCCCCATAGCTTCATTTTGCTGTTCCCTCTCCCCTGCCCTTTGGCCAGATGAGATTGCACACTCCTGGGAGAGCACTGGTCCCTCCTCAGGCCTGTGAAGAGTGGTGACAGCAGGACAGCTCTGTGCCTGAAGGAGCCCACGTGAGGATCAACAACCTGTTGTGTCACACAGTTCCTGGTCACCTGCAGAACAGGAGTCAGAGAAACAGAAAATCCGGCTGCTGCAAGAAGATAGCTGGAAAAGCTGGTGCTGCTCGTTCAAAGCCTACAGCATTCCTTGCTCTCCAAGCCCTATCAGAAGCCTTCTTGAGTGAACATATGTGACTCCAGCTAAAAGCAGTGTTAACCACAAAAAAACCTGTTTTCTCAATTCTAGGGATACCTGGGACAGAAAGATCTGAGTTCATGCTTTTCTGAAAACCCTTGGAAATGCAATGCATTATGAAATAATCTTCCATTTGGATTTATAAAAGCACAGAAACCACATTCTATAAATGACATTTATCTCTATGGCATATTGTCTTTTCATCTCACATCTGTAAAGTGTTTGCTGTAATGACTAGAGTTTTCCTCTCACTTATTTTTAAATAGACTCCCAACCCAACCCTGGACCAGGGATTCAGTTGAACTTCAGATGAAGGACAGTGGGTCAAGCACTTTGATCTTTTAGACTATGTGATCCAAACATCCATGTGTTTCTACAGTTAAAAAAAAATCCTCCTAAGCAGAGATAGAAGATGTACTTAATGGTGAGGCACAATCATAGGACAATACTTGCCGTCCATTATAATGTAAAAGCAAGGAAGAGATGCAAGTTCTTTTTTAATGTCAGGCTGTCTTTGTTAAAGTGATTTTTAAGGATCTGTAAAGCCAAGACAAGCCCACCTTTGCAGATGACTGCATTAAGTTTGCTATCAAAACTCATTAAGATCTCATCCAAAGGAAACAGACATCACATTTTGGCTCTTAACACACTTAAATAATCTTCCAACTGTGTTCCTGTCTGAGACACACACAGGCTTAATTTTTGCTGTGAGGATGTGATACACATCTTTCCTGGAATAGAGTTTGAAGTCTCAGTGCTCTTCTTAAAGAAAATATGATCACTTAGTTTTCTCTCTTCATGGGCTCTTTACTGATCTGTTTATTAAACCCATCTTCAGAAAGACACATCATCCACATAATCCCTACCAGAGCAAGGAGAGACTGAGATGCACCTTAGGCAGGAAAGCAGCACTCAAACTTGTGCAGAAAGCACTGCAGGTGTCTGGCAGGGAACAGATGGTCAGACTTTCTTTCCTATCTTAATGAGAAAGGTAAGCTTCATGGCTTAAAAGGGGATACCTCTGACATATTTTTAAATAATACAACACAGAACATCTCTCTAAAGAATACAAATACAGAATGAAAATAAACTAAAGGCAGTATTTGTGAGGATGAATTCAGCGCAAGAGCTGTACTCATGCACATTTCCTGCCAAATCTTTTTTCCACAGCAGTGCATTCCAATCCAAATGGAACCTGCAGGATTTGTCCCTTATGTTTATTTAATGAAGTGAACTGGACTAATTCTCATAGCTGCTCAACAAAGGGATGCTTTAGGACATGAGAATTCAGTTGTTCCTCAGTGCAAGGCTCTTTAATAGAGAGGTTAATCTGTTAGATAACAGCTCCTGGTTGTCAGACTATTCCTGTCTTCAAACCCTTGCATATGCCACATTTAGTGGTTCCTGGGTTTAGTTTGGCTGGGGGGAGGGGACCAGGATTCTGGCATTCAAGGATAAGTTGATTTTTTTAGGAAAATTATAGTTCTAGTAACAGTCATGTAGAAAATACCTTCAGATTCAGAGACTGGTTCGACAAACCGCATTAACCACACTTGATGAAAAAAAAGTTATCAGTGAGAAGTAGTTTGGATAGAGTTTCTGTCTTTGCTGTAGTTCAGCATAATTAAACCAAGGGCCCCAGGTTAGGGCTGTGCCACACCAGCTAAAAGCATTCTGTTAAGGAGGAGGAGGAGGAGGAAAGAGAGACAAAGAGGTCAAAGGCAGTCTGTCAGGCGGCTGTGGAGGAAAACCACAGGAGGAAGCAAGACACACTGGACTGAGGCAAGCCTTCCATCACATGGGAATGGGTGGAGTGTACCTCATCCTCACTTCAGCATCTCTTCCCCATTTCAAGAGAATAAACAAAAATTCAATACTAAATATACTTCACAAGTTTGCTACTGTAAACAACACTACACTGTCCTTTGCAAAATCCAAAGCCTCTCATTTTCACACAAATGCCAATTCTCTGCTAGATCAGAACATGCAGCCACTTTGAGTCTTTTAAATAGATTTTGTAAGCCTTTCCATAACTGCCTTGTGCTGGAACTGGAGCACTTCAAACAAAAGCTTCCATGCTCAGCCCCTTTCCAAGGCTTTGGCTTGGTTTAAAAAGAACCTCTTGGGTATCATCGCAGAACTTGCAAAATGCCCAGAATCACTGCTATCAGAGGATTTATTCACACCACTGAAACCTGAATGTCAAATTGCCATGTGCAGTACAAACATCTTGTTAACCTTTTGCAGCTTCTGAGACTACAGCAAGACCACAGAAATTGTTTACACCAGCATTTCCATGACCTGCAGCTGGAACATTACATGGACCCAGTACTCTAAGTACAAACTCAAATAAAAAAATAAAAAAAGGAAAGATAATTTGGGAACTATCAATACCAGCCCATAGTGTAAAGTATCTTCTTTTTAAACTTACAAAGCTGGAGCATACAGCAGTATGAAAAAACCCCTGTTTTAGAAACACAATTACATATGATTAAGAATCTATCAAGAATACTTCCATGTTCCAGATAAACCAAAGCTCATTTATTCACAATCACCAGGATTACTAAATACACAAAGTTTAGGAATAAGCGTTCTTCCCTCTGCTCACCCCTACATCCAAGTTCAGAGCTGTTTCAAAAACCTGTTAAGAAAACACCAGCTGGACTCAACTCCAAAGGCACAAAGTGAAATCCATTACCTCCTTTTTGTGAGCTCTTCTCATTCAAGATGCCTTCCTTAATTTTTCATTTTATGTTTAAAGTACACAAATACAAAAAAAAAGTCAAGAACAGTAGAGTTTTACTGTTCTATTCAGGAAACACCAAAATTCATCACCTGTATATGACTGTTTATTGGAAAACATAACTAAGTGTCATCTAAGACCACAGAAAGAGCAGAATTTTCAAAACAGCTATAGGCACATCATGTCCTGATTCGAGTTTACAAGAGTCTTTCTTCAAAAACTAGAGAATTTTGCTAAATTTGTCTTAACATGTCCATGCCACGCCAACTATCACCCAAGCAGCTGCAGAAGTAGCTGTTATGCAGTGGTTTGGTGGTCTGTACACAGCTTAGACTACTCCTGTCTATTAGTACTTAAATGCTAATTAAGGAAAGAAACATCTTCAGGCAATTCAAGGAGACAGCACTCCATAGTTTTTACCAAGAGGCAAACGAGAGTACAAACTAACTCCTCAGACAATTCCCAGGCTAGGTCTGCCTCTGGTTTTAGGCACTCGGTTGAATGTGATGCCACAGGACAAGTCACACCCAAAAATAAATTTCAGAGAGGGAGAAGTGATGGGGAATGGCAGAAGAGGGATCACTTTCCTGAAGTCTTAGAAGAAGGTTCAGAAAATTGGTGCCAGGCAAAGACTGTACAACACTAATGTTTCTAGCAGGGCTGCCACACCCAGTCTTGTGTCCAGCTAGAAAACACATCAGCTGCAAGTTTGCCTGGATTTCACAGGAGAAAGAGATGTTTAAGATACTCCACCAAGTGGCAGCCCACTGATGATTTTTTTCCCCCCGTCTAACTGCTTTGTTAAGATTGAATAAAATTGCCAGTTTCCAAATGTGCTTTTTTATCCCATGTCAGTTAATAAGGCTCCTCCTCTAATCTTTCTCATTAAATTTTTGATCAGCTGCTCAGCAGTTTCATGGCTTAAAAAAACCTGTACTTCAAAGTATCTTCAACACATCGTCAAGGTTTAGTTTTTTTCCATTTTGAGAAAGCGTTGTTCCCATTTCATTTACAGCAGAAACTGGCTGTAAGGTTCGAAGTTGATTCATGGCACAAATGCTAAAGATGTGCTTCAGTGTAAACCAACATGGCTTGTTTGGAAAGAAGCAAACATGAAGCACTCTGATTTAGCTGAAGAAGGACCAGAGACTCAAATGTCTCCACATCCCAATGTGGATGTGCTTCATAACCTGATGTAGTTCATTCACATCACTTCGGAATCGTACCAGGCATCTATAGCTCTGGTCATGCACATTTTTTATTCCCAGGTCAATCACACAGAGGGAAGACTAATGATTTATTGAATGACAAACTTTCCTAAACTGACCATGCTATTTTAGATGACTTCTACCAGTTGAGGATTCCTCTTTTCTTCAGAGGAAATCAGCACAGCTATAATAATTTATTGCTGTCTCCAGCAAGCTGTGTAGTTTCTTACCTTGCATCTGAAACTGAAATCCCTTCAAGGACAACTGATGATACTTTGATCCCCCCTCTCCCATCCTCCACACCAAACTAACTGTCCTTGGGATGAATGGCTGTTTACTTTTTCTTTTGGAAGTACATTGTATCAGTGGGTTTTCTCATTTTAGTCTGGCATGTTAAAATGGAAATAAGAGAAACTTTAGAAAGTTAGTTATTTAAAAAGCCTACAGTGGTGATGACCAGAGCTGCAGGCAAAACTCCCATCACTATGTACCCTCTGGATCATGCACTAGTTGCAGGTTCCAACTGAGTCTCAAACACCCCAATTTCCATTGGAATATTTACAGAACAGGTCTGACAGGCCTGGCATGGCAAATCC